TATATTCATTGTCACATTCTTTTTCACCCTGGGCCACAAGATCTTGTATATATTTCCCTGTGCTACACAGTATAATCCTGTTTATCTGCTCTATATATACCTGTCAGTATCACATCTTTCAAAAACAGTGTAACGCAGACTTCATAATATGGGTTAAGAAGTACCTGTCACCTATTTTCTGACAGTTTGTATAGAACTGGTATTCTTTCTTTCTTAAAAGTTCACAGAAATCATCAGGGAGATGATCTGAGCCTGGATTTTTTTCTTGTTGGGAGATTTTTAACTGTGAATTTAATTTCTTGAATAACTGTAGCAACTTTCAGGTTACCTATCTCTTCTTGAGTAAGCTTTGCTAGTTGGTTTCTTTCAAGAGTTTAGTCCATTTCATCAAAGTTGTCAAATCTGTGCTCTTTATTCCCTCCCACTCTTTGTTCCATTGGTTTCTAGTCTTTTTATTTCACTCCTGTTTACATGGGCTTATTTTACTTTTTTTTCCAGTTTCTTAAGGTAGGAGTTTAAATTACTGATGTGAGACCTTCATTCTTTTTTAGTATAAGCATTTTAGTGCTATGAATTTCCCATGAAGCACTGATTTTTCTGCACCTCAGAAATTCTGGTCTGTTGTATTTTAATTTGCATGTTTTATAGAATAATACTTTAAAATATTTTCCATATTTCTCTTGAAATTTGTCAGACCCATCAATTATTTGGAATTGGGTTGCTTAATTTCCAAGTGTTTTGGGATTTTCCTGTTCTTTTTACAACTGAGTCTTGTTAAACTGCAATATAGTCTGAACATATTTTGTACAATTTCAGTTATTTAAAAATTTTTAAGATTAGTGGGCCAGGACATGAACTATTGGCGAATGCCTCACATGCAGTGGAAAACAATGTGTTTTCTGCTGCTGGCTGTTCTAGACGTGTCCACCAGGTCTAGTTTGCCAATGATATTGTTCAGCCCTTCCATAGCCTTGCTGAGTTTGGTCTCTAAGTCATGTTACCAAGAAATAAATGCTGAAGTGTCCACCTAAATTGGTAGACTGTATTTCTCCTTTCAGCTCTGTCTCTGCATGACCTTGAGGCTTTGCTGTTATGTGCATGCCCATTTAAGGCTGTCTTTGGTGAAACACTGCTTCTACCATTATTCACATTCCTGATCATTTTCTCTTTTTTTGTTTGTTTAACATATTTTATTGAGTTAGTCATTTTACAATGTTCTGATCATTTTCTTTCCTCTGATTATACCTTTACTTCTAGAAAAGGGAACATATGTTCTAATGTCAGCTCTCAGGCTGGGAGATAGGGTGGGGCCGAATCAATCTGATCTGTACTTCAGCTGTCTGAGCTTTGTCGCAACATCTGATTGATTTAGCACAAAACTGCCTTCAGACGTTTGGAGGGCAGGATGTCTTCCTCAGCAGGGCCTGGGATCTGAGCATGAAGGAACTCATGCTCAAGGCCAAACCACAAGCTCTCGGAGCTGTGTGAAACATCTCCTTGCCTTACGGCCTGTAAGTTTTTTTTTTTTTTTTGAGATTTTAAACATTTTTTTTATTGAGTTATAGTCATTTGACAATGTTGTATCAAATTCCAGTGTAGAGCACAATTTTTCAGTTATACATGAACATACATATATTGTCACATTTTTCTTGCTGTGAGCTACCACAAGATCTTGTATATATTTCCCTGTGCTATACAGTATAATCTTATTTATCTATTCTACATTTTGAAATCCCAGTCTGTCCCTTCCCACCCTCCGCCCCCTTGGCAACCACAAGTTTGTATTCTATGTCTATGAGTTACAGCCTGCAGTTTAAGTATCTGCCTGTAGTTTATGTTGGTTTTTCTAAATGAAAATCGTATCTACAAAAAAATAGGACTTTTGTTTCTGTCCCAACCCCCAATTCCTTACAACTTTTTGTTACCACACATTGGCCAGGACTGCCATTACAATGCTCAATAAAAGTCATGAGCATTTTTTAATTTTCTTAATTTCATGGTATGTATCCACTAACAAGAAATTTGACCATTTTTTTAAACATACCCCCTACAAAGTTAAAGGAGTTACTTTCTATTTCTAACTTAATAATATTTAAAATCATCCATGGGTATTACAGTCCATCAAATGATTTACATAGTGAGACACTCATATGGCTTTCTTCTGGTATAGTGGTTAATTTTACATAAAGAATTTCTAATTCAATCTTCCAAACATCCTAATATGTCTCAACTAGGATCAGATTACGCTTCACACGACAGAACCAAATCTCCTCCCAATCAAAACGAACAATGCCTTGAACAAGATCACTCGTGTCTCTTTTGTGTAAGAAGGTGCCCAGATTTGGTCGTCTGGGGCTGGCACAGCCACACCATTATCACCAGAGAGCCCAGACACTCTTATTTCTCTACTCAACTCTAGCAGATGGCTTCCATCCTCAAGAAGAATTCTAAGATGGTTTTACAATGGCTACTGAGTCTCCAAACATCTGATGTGTTGCATGTTAAAAAGAGGAAAGATGAAAGGACACTGGGCGAGCTCTCCCTAGCTGTATGTTTTCCTTCTGAAGAACATTCCCATTATACCCTCTCAGCAACTTCAAAAGCTATGTTTCTCAAAGATGGAGAAACATAGCTTTTTAGCTGGGCACACAGACATCACGAAAATTGCAGCAATCCTGTTAGTCATGAAGAAACACTCAGTTCACTACTAGTGGCCTGCTACACATCATGACTTTAAAAAATAAAACCTCTACATTATTAGATACATTTTTGTGGTAAGTCCATTTAGGATTTTTAAATATATGTTCACAAATGACTTCATCATTTTTTTCCAAAATGTCTTATTTTCTGTGAAATACTGTAAAATGTTAGAATTAGCTTTCCTGAAAATTATCCACTACTACTGAAACTCTCTGGAACCTCTTTCTCTTCTGGGGCTGGGGCAGAGTTGGAGGAACAAGGTAGATTTTCAAGCCAGAGACTGTTTTTAACTTTCCTATTTTGTTTACTGGCTACAGGCCTATTCATTTGTTAAGTTTCATTTATCTGGTAACTTTTCCATTTCATTTAAAATCAGACCCAATGGAGCATTATCCACTCACACAGTATTTGACTTATACCTCCAACATTATGCTAACATCTCTGGCTTCCAGTGGGCAAGGCTGCAGGTGGGTCTGCATCACACAATACAGCAAGCTTTAAACTAACTGGCTCTGGGAAGAAGAAACACAGTATGTGTTCATTCTTTCTTTCATATGTGTATGTGTCTTCCTTGGGATATCAATACATGGGCAACATACACAGTATTTTCCAGGTTTAACTGTAGCAAGTATCTGAAACTCTCTGCTTATGCAAGACTCTTCTTCCCTTCTGTGAATCAACATTCTCCACCCTCGGTGTCTTGACTTTGGATCCTGCATTATGAGCTGAGCACACAAGGATCAGGCATTCAGAAAATCACTAAGTACATCCTTCAAGAAAGAAAGTTGTTATGGGTAAGAGATGGGATTCCCTGCTGAAGTGAAGAGCACAAAGCAGTGGGTGTTTCAGAAATACCTGGAGTTGTGAATCCTCGTATCCCTCCAAGGTAGCCCTAGCCCACTTTCCAGGGTCCCAGCTCTTTCCAGACTACTGCTCATGCACATAAGGTAACTGGTGTGGCTGTGAAAAAACACCGACTCTCTACGTAAGCAATCAGCAGAAAGATTTCCCACCACCCTGAGTCTACAGCTACAGGTGCACATTGTAGGAGCACCACTCAATGTACTGAGAGGACACAAGGTACCTCAAAGCGAAAGAGAGGTGAACCAGGATTAAAAAGTGACGGTAACGGAAGCTACTCTGGGTAATCTACATAGAAGGAATTAATTGAGAACTGCAAGATGCCACCAGAGAACAAAAGCTAAGCTTGCTGTTCTGTACGGAGGGGTTCCATTAAAAACGTAAATCCCGGAGCATCTCGGCCAGCGCTGGGCCACGTGGGTGAGGGTCCCGTCGTTGACTGCACGCGCTGCGGACTCTCCTGAAGAAAACCATGGTGTTCTCACCAGCGACGACAGAACAGATTCCAGCACACAGCCATATAAAGCAGGCACTACACTGACTATGTAACTGAAGAGGTAGCTGCCAGGCCCACTTACAAAGGGCACAAAGTAACAGGAAAGTCTGGAAGTGCTGAGATGCATTTTTACTGCCATATTGTTATAGTAACAGGTTGTATTTCTTAATAAGAATGCTGCTGTCCAGAGTAGAAATACCTGAGAAGTGGTACTGTTATCTATCTAATTTCTCTATCAAATGTGTTCACAAGCAAAATGCCAAACTACACGAAACATACTCTATAGTACAGAGAGGAACAGAACACCTACATATCCCTGTAGGTCTTACAATGTAGTCCTTACTGTTACCCTGATTATTACATTTATTTACACACTTTCAAAACTCTTTATGTTCTATTATGAACATGCTTATCACTGATATTTTGAATATTTTCTCCAATCTTTTCCTAAAAGTTTGGAACCTCTGGAACATAGTTTCCCTTACTTGTAAAGGAATGAATCAAAGTAATAGTGATATAACCTTCCTGCTGAGAATTTACCCCACTTGAAACATTCATATATATATGCAGACATATATAGTATGAATTATACTCTATTCTGCTACAAGTTTATCACTTCTAGATGAAGAGTTTCCCTAACTTACAGCATGGTTTCTCCAAGGCATGAGATTCTGATACCTGAAATTCAATGGTTTTATATTTTTCTCATTAAAATCCTACTGGTTAATAAGATTATGAATTTCAAAAGATTGTATTCCATATTCATTTCCATTATGGAATTTCCCCTTTGTAAATGCTAGCATATTAAAAAATTACTTTCTGACATTCAATTCATTCGTATTTTTCTTCACCTGCATAAGATTAAAGGTATGACTTCCTCCTGATAACTTTCACAGGGTTCACAGATTTCACAGGGTTCCTGTGACATGTACTGACGTTTTCTGAGTGTAAAAGAAACAGCTTTCTGTGAATGTCCTTCCACGTGCTGTAAACACACGAGGCTTCTCTTCAGGGTGGGTTTTCCGGTGTACAGAGATGATTCCACTTACAGAGTTTCTCTTCTATAGGAATTTTCTGGAATTTCCTGAGAAATGGTTTCTTACACTTAACTCACCAACATATTTCTCATCTGCATGAATTCTCTGATGCATGATGAGCTGTGACTTCCAACAAAAGGCTTTCCCACAGGCAGTGCACTTACAGGGTTTCTCTCCCGTGTGAGTCCTCTGGTGTGCACTGAGAATTGACTTCTGAGAGAAGGCTTTCCCACAGTCACTGCATCCATACGGTTTCTCCCCTGAATGAGTCCTCTGATGCACAATGAGCTGAGATTTCCTAATGAAGGCTTTTTCACACTCATTGCATTCATAGGGCTTCTCTCTTGTGTGCATCCTCTGATGTACAATGAGCCGTAATTTTCCACTGAAGGATTTCTCACATTGACTGCACTTATAAGGGTTTTCCCCTTCATGCGTTCGCTCATGTACAATGAGTAGTGACTTCCAAATGAAGGCTTTCCCACATCTGTGACATTCATATGGTTTCTCCCCTGAATGAGTTCTCATGTGTATAATGAGGTAGGACTTGCTGCTAAAGGCTTTCCCACATTCGCTGCACCCATAAGGTTTTTCCCCAGCATGAGTTCTCTGATGAGAGATGAGCTGATCTTTTCTATTAAACGTCTTCCCACATTCACCACATTCATAAGGGTTTTCTCCTGTGTGAATTCTCTGATGCACAATAAGTTGTGAATTGAAACTGAAGGATTTCCCACATTCACGGCATTCGTGTGGTTTCTCTCCTGTGTGAGTCCTCATGTGTATAATGAGGTAGGACTTACTCCTGAAAGCTTTCCCACATTCACTGCACCCATATGGTTTCACTCCCGTGTGACTTCTCTGATGTACAATGAGCTGTGACTTCAAACTGAAGGCTTTTCCACACTGATTACATCCATAGGGTTTTACCCCAGTGTGTGCCCCCTGGTGTACAATGAGCTGTGACTTGAAGGTAAAAGCTTTCCCACATTCACCACAACCATACGGTTTCTCTCCTGTGTGAGTTCTCTGATGTACAATAAGGTTAGACTTTGTATTGAAGGCTTTCCCGCATTCACTGCATTCAAAGGGTTTTTCTCCTGTATGAGTTCTCTGATGTATCATGAGCTGTGACTTCAAACCAAAAGTTTTCCCACAGTCACTGCATTCATAGGGCTTCTCCCCTGCATGAGTTCTCTGGTGTGAAATGAGCTGGTATTTCCGACTGAAGGCTTTCCCACAGTCGCGGCACTCATAGGGAGTCTCCCCTGTGTGAGTTCTCTGATGTATAATGAGTTGTGAACCGAAACTGAAGGCTCTCCCACATTCACTGCATTCATGGAGTTTCTCTCCTGTGTGAGTCCTCACGTGTATAATGAGGTAGGACTTGCTCCTGAAAGCTTTCCCACATTCACTGCATACCTCACGTGTATAATGAGGTAGGACTTGCTCCTGAAAGCTTTCCCACATTCACTGCATACGTAAGGTTTCACTCCCGTGTGACTTCTCTGATGTACAATGAGCTGTGACCTCAAACTGAAGGCTTTTCCACACTGATTACATCCATAGGGTTTTACCCCAGTGTGTGCCCCCTGGTGTACAATGAGCTGTGACTTGAAGGTAAAGGTTTTCCCACACTCACCACAACCATAGGGCTTCTCCCCTGAGTGGGTTCTCTGATGCACCATAAGATTAGACTTTGTATTAAAGGCTTTCTGACATTCACTGCATTCATAGGGTTTCTCTCCTGTGTGGGTTCTCTGATGTATCATGAGCTGTGACTTCAAACCAAAAGCCTTCCCACATTCATTACACCCATACGGTTTCTGTTCTGAATGCGTTCTCTGGTGTGAAACGAGCTGGTCTTTCCTACCAAAGACTTTTCCACATTCACAGCATTCACAGAGATTCTCCCCGGTGTGAATTCTCTGATGTATGATGAGTTGTGAACTGAAACGGAAAGTTTTCCCACATTCACTGCACTCATGAAGTGTCTCTCCCGTGTGAGTTCTCTGATGCACAACGAGGCAGGCCTTGCGGCTGAAGTCCTTCCCACCTCCATTACATCTGCAGGGGTTTTCTTCTGCAGGGGTTTGCTGATCCACCACGAGGCATGACTTGCTGCTGAAGGCCTCCGTCCAGGAACTGCATTCAGAGGACTTTCCCGCCATGTGCATTTGTTGGCATATGAGCTGCGACTCTCTTTGGACAGTTTTTCCAGATCCACTATTTTCACAGTATTTTTTTCCAGTAACAGCTTGCTCATGTTTAGAATGGAATAATGATTCCCTAAGATCATGAAACCCACTGGGATATTTTCCAGCATAATTACTACTAGAATCTATATGTTTCAAACTCTTTCCATGTGTAACACATTTATGAAGTTCTTGTCTTGAAGAAACATAATTTGTACTATGAAGAGATAGTCTTCCAAACGCAGTACACTGGTAGCTTTCTGCTCTGCTTCCCAGCTTGCCGTGACTTTCCTGATGCCATTCCACACGATCATCAATTTCCTGGACTTCATCTAGAGAGGAAAATACTCATATGTCATAAATAGTAACATGATCCTAGTATAGCACAGAGTGACCTTAAAAACACCATGTCGTGAGGTTTTTCTTTTAGTTTCATGTATCAGTTCTGAATATAAATAAAATCTAAAGTGTAAGCGTACCCAAACTCTTGTGCTCTGGGTAAAATAAAATGAAACATGAAAATAGGCACAAGGAACTGACAATAAATACAGACAGTCTTCAAAGGAAAGAACATACAATGGAGGAAAGATAGTCTCTTCAGTGACTGGTGATGGGAAAGCTGGACAGGTGAACATGAATCAACGAAGCTAGGACACTCCCTCACACCACACACAAAAATACACTCAAAGTGGCTTAAAGACTGAAACATAAGACAAGACACTGTAAGCCTCCTGAAGAAAACACAGGCAAAAACATTTTCTGACATATATCTTAACAATGTTCTCCTAGGGCAGTCTACCCAGGCAATAGAAAAAAATCAAAAATAAACTGGGACTTAATTATACTTATAAGCTTTTCCACTACAAAGAAAACCATCAACAAAATACAAAGACAGCCTACGGTAAGGGAGAAAATATTTGCAAATGATGAGACTGACAAGGGCTTCATTTCCACAATATACAAACAGCTTATACAACTTAATAACAAAAAACAAACAACCCAATTCCAAAATGGGCAGAAGACCAAAAGAAGCATTTCTCCATGAAGACATACAAATGGCCAAAAGACACATGGAAAAATGCTCAATATTGCTAATTATCAGAGAATTGCAAATCAAAACTACAATGAGGTATCACCTCACATAGGTCAGAATGGCCATCATTAAAAAGTCCATAAACTAGAAATGCTGGAGATGGTGTGGAGAAAATGGAACCCTCCTACACTGCTGCTGGGAATGCAGTTTGCTGCAGCCACTATGGAAAACAGTATGGAGATTCCTTAAAAAACTAAAATTAGACTTACCATATGATCCAGCAACCCCACTCCTGAGCATATATCAGGAGGGAACTCTAATTCGAAAAGATACATGCATCCAAATGTTCACAGCAGCACTATTTACCATAGCCAACATATGAAAACAACTTAAATGTCCATCAACAGACAACTGGATAAAGAAGATGTGGTTTATTTATATAACGGAATACTACTCAGCCATAAAAAAGAATAAAATAATGCCAATTGCAAGAACATAAATGGACCTGGAGACCATCATTCTAAATGAAGGAAGCCAAAAAGAGAAAGAAAAATAGCATATGATATCACTTATATTTGGAATCTAAAATATGATACAAATGACCTTATTTACAAAACAGAAATAGACTCAAAGGCACAGAAAACTTACGGTTACCAGAGGGAAAGGGAGGGTGAAGGGATATAATGGGAGTTTGAGATATACAGGTACTAACTACTATATATAAAATAGATAAACAACAAGGTCCTGCTGTATATAGTACAGGGAACTGTATTCAATACCTTCTAGTAACCTATAATGAAAAATAATATGAAAACAAATTATGTGTATGTATGACTGAAACATTATGCTGTACATGAAAAATTGACACAATACTGTAAACTGACAACACTTCAAATTTAAAAAAGTAAAAAAACAAAAATAAAAAGTAGAATTTTGCATAATGCCTTCCTTAGAAGGCACAAGGAAAAATGAGCAAAATACAAAGAGGCGGGAGGGGATCTCTGAGCATCATTTTCATTGAACAAACAGTGGTTGAATACCTACTACGTGCCAAACACTGCTCAGCCCAGGAGCAGCAGCAGAAACACTGCAGACTAGTTCACAGGCCTCTTGGGAGCAGTTACACTGATGCCCAAACAGATGGAAACAGACTCCCAAGAAGCATCGCTGTGCTGACGGCGACTGGCAACAAGCAGCAGCTAGTCAAGGGTCCAGAAAAAACACAAAAAAACTCACAGAGTGGATCAAAATTTGGAATGGCATCTGAATTCTCATTAGCATCTCAAGAGGAGAGAAAACAGAGCATTCAGGAGTTAAGTATAAACATTTTCAGAGCACAGGTCTCAAAATTTATATCAAATGCACCCTTTCACAGGCAGCTATTGTGAAAACAAACCAAGAAAAAAGATGACACAATGAAAACAGACAATAAAATCTGAAAGGAGATTCCAGGGTAATAATTGTACAGCCATGTCTTGAGAAAAATTAGGTTTCACTGGAGCAAGTCAAACGGCACGGGAGTGTTGTCACCAGGAAGGTGAAATGGACAGAACCACCAATTGAGCTGAATATACCAAAAGAATATTCAGATATATGAAGAAGAATCTGTTGTTAAATTAATTATAAAAACATTAATGAGAACAGAGGAAGGTAAGCAGGCAAATAAAAAAAACTCAAGGAAAAAATGATTTATGAACAAAAACTAACCATCGTGCACTTGCATGATTTACCCTGAACAGAAATTACAGTCGTAAAGATGTAAAAACTGAAGACTGATCTAACCACAAGTATGAAACAGCCTGATTAGGACAATGAGGCTATGGGACCAGGCAGCATGCGTATCCTGGGGAGTCTGAGGAAGGAGCATGAGAGAGAATTAAATCTCTACCCTTCCTACTGAGTAACTAGAGGAGAGAGTGAAGGTGCAGTAGCAGAAGCTGGTTATTCAGAAAGCATGGAGGAAAATACCAGAAGAAAGAGCTAAGAGAGATGAAAACGGTTTTTCTCTGGGGGAATGAAAAACAGAGGGGGCAAGGTGGACAGAATGCTGTTTAAACATCGATGCAAAGGTAACAGTGGACAGGGAACCAGACACAGGACTACGTCCTCAGGCACAGTGACAAATACTTGGAGGCTGACTACAGAGAGAATGTGGAGAGTCGGCCCAGATGTCCCAAAGCAACCTGCTGACCAAGGAGTGGACAGAAAAGGGTATTCAGAGAACACAGCAGCAGTCAGGTTTCAAGACAGCACATCACAGGATCTTAACACCACACTCCAAGTTTCACTACATCCTAAACCTGAACACTCATTCATTTTGTACACAAGCTCCAAACTGTATTTTCCCAAACACTGATTCCCAACTGGGGCAGAACCCACCTTGGATGCACTGAGCAATGAACATGAGCCTGTTCGACTATGACAATGGCTTTGGAGGGAGTATAACTGTCTATCACATGGTCTTAAAGTCAGAACTATTTCCAGAAGAAGAACACAGGCCAGTGAGTAATTAATCTGTGCCCTCGAGTCAGACCTGCTCGAATGTTTGCCTGTCAGTGTTGTCCCTGAAGACTTGCAAAGTTCAATAACTGCAGAAAACGAGATCACTGCTGGTATCTCAAGGAGCAGCACAACAAACTAAGAAACAAGGAAGCAACAGCGGAGCCAGAGAGCAGGAGGCAGGAATTCACAAGGTTACAGATGATTCGAACATGATTCATGCCTGTGTTAAACATTATTACTGGCCATGGCTCATCTTGAGTTTAGCCACAGGAGACAGCGGAAAAGGAAATTAAGCTCAGAGAGCAGAACCAAGGGCTCACTAGGCCACAGTCTGCCCAACCAGGGGTCCCAGGCACTGCAAACCAGTGACTTCTCTGTGGTGCCCACTGCTGCTGCTCTCCCAGAACAGGGTTCCTGTTGTACCCACCCCACACCTCTGTCTGCTGCTCCATCTGTCTGGTTGGTCACATGTGGATCATTTACCTTTAGTTAGCGACCCCCAGACCACAGAGAACCACCACCAGGTCTGATTACCAACAGTGACCCTAGACTTGTGCTAACACAGGACAAGAATGAGAATAGGGGTGACAGAATGTTTTTGAAGATGGGTGGATGGAAGGAAGGGTGCGACTGGATGCGACGTGGCTAAGGAGGCAGACGGAGGAAAGCAGTGCTGCCTACCCAGCAGCTCTCCTGCCCCTTCCTGGGCTGGCCGAGCCTGGGCTTTGCTTCCCACCGCCATCTGTGCACTTCAGGCGGGCACATGGGGACCCATCTCCACAACTGCCCCCTCGAAGGTGAAGCGTGTTTCTCCTGAGCCAACAGGGATGCTTCCACTTCCCTTGCCAGAGTCTCCTTTAAACAAGTGTGTGTGATCACAACACGGCCTAATGAGCACGGGGAGTCTGCCGGGGCTTCCTGAAACAGATTTTACTGCCTGATAAACAGGGTCATGTGGGAAGAAACAGTCTTTCTTACTCCACTGGCCACTGGTATAGCTGCAGGTGTCGGCTGGAACTGTAACAGCCATCTGATGACCATGAGGGAGGAAATCTGAGGAAAATACTGATGTACTTAGATGACAAGGCAGAGGGAGACCTTTGGGGATTTAGTCACCCCTACAGATGCCCCACTTCAGGACGCTCTGCGATGTATGGTAATAAATCACTTTTGCTTAAATAGGCTGACTTATATTAATAAAAAAAAATTGCACCTGCAACAATCCTAATGATACAAGATTAACAGCTGATTTACTCGCTCATGCGCATGACAGAACACACAGGTGCAGGGGGAAATATCTGACAGTAACACCAAAGTGAACTAGGAGTGTAAGAGTAAAAGGGATAAATCTGGCTAACAAGTAGAACAATCAAGAAATGAAAGAATACTGACCTCGTCTTGGGTGAGAATGGAGAAGATGGAGGACTTAAAAGACTGCTTTTTAAAGGACCAAAACAGTAACATATTACTCAAGACTAGTGAAGAGAAGTGTGTACAAAGGAGAGTTAAGCTGACGCCCCAGTGCCAGGAGAAAAGCCAGGACACAGGAACTAGCTATCAGAAAGGCGAGAGGACGTTCCCATATAGTGATGGGGCAGTGGGAGGGACATTCCAATTCCACTTTCTGAAAGTGAGATAAGGGGGTGGCACATGCAGAAAAGATGCCCTGGGCACTGACTGAATCCAGTACCAAAGGGCAGACGAAAGAGAGACGGGGCTGTCAGTCACCAACCGAGAAAAAAAGAGCTTAAATCTTCAGAATAGAAGTCTTTTGAACTTACAACATACAAGGAAACTGGAGAACATAAGAAAAGACCCCTCTGGACTCAGAGGGGAGAGCAAGAGGGGCCAGTAAACCATGAGGAGGGTGAGCCCTTTGTGATGCAGCGTGAGAGGGGCTCAGTAGGGTGACCTGAGTAACAGGGCAGGGAGCAGCTCAGGCAGGAGAGCACGGTGGCAAGGTGGTCAGCAAGGAGACACGGAAGGGGTGGTATCTCCTAATCAGTAGGTTCCAAGGAGAAGGAAACTGGAACTGTGGTTGTTGAATATAAACGTAAGACATTTTTTAAAAAAACAGGAATGAGAAGGGGTGTGAAAGTCATACCGAGGGCCGTAAACAGGGAACGCTTGCTTCAATGCATAATGAAATGAGTCTATTACCACGGGAACGTAAGAAGGAAGCTGAGACGGCCAGAGAGGGGAGTAACAAAGACAGAATAGTTAAAACGAGACAGAAGTACAAACCTGAAGGGAGCGTCACGTCAGAACTCAGCCCAGGTCTGGGCACGGAGGAAAAGTACTCCGTGTCCTGCTCACTCACCTGCACGGCCCTGACTTGGGATTTGCATCATCCACAGCTCTTCTTGTTCCAACTGGAAAACGACACTGGGTTTGGTGTGCTGGTGCCCTGTGAGTGGAAAATCACACACAACCTGGCCGAGATTGCCCAGGATCCAGGAATTCTCAAGAATGGGGAGGCTTGGTTCAGAGGCAGCACGGTGAAGCCGCACTTGGGCACTCTGGCACAGTAAACACCATCCAGCCAGCATAATCTGATGCCAAAGGGAGAGTAAGAAAACCTGGTCTCTACATACAAGCACAGAAACACCAAACATTTTACAGAAGTCCCTTGGCTTTCAGCAACCAAGAAGGGGAGGCTGGAGATTCCATACCCTCTTTTCAGGGAGGCAGTACTTACCCAGGGACGCCAGGTTGTTATAGTTCTCCAACATCACACTCCTGTACAGGTGCTTCTGAGCTGGGTCCAGCAACCGCCACTCCTCCCAGGTAAAGTCCACAAACACGTCCATGAATGACAGTGGTCCCTGGAACAGCATATTCCCGTCCAATGTCAAATTATTTTACTCAGTTCTCATAAACAAAAGGCTGCCAAGGGTGGCCATTCTTTACATGTTGTTTTGTGAGAAAAGCAAAAATTTATTGGAAGCATTCCATCTATATGCATTAAATCAGTTAACCTTTCGTTAAACAAATGCAAATATCATGTGCCAGGTATTCAACTAGGTGCAGGTGATATAAAAATGGATGCAAGGCAGTCATGCCTGCAAGAAGTGTTCAGCATTGCAGAGGAAAGCAAACTTAAATACATAAAAATGCAACAAGGAATAAAGAAGCTCAGATAAAAGAACCTGCAGAGAACATGGGCACAACAGAGGAACGGGGAGCGCTGCCGAGAAGTGTCAACTGAGTCGAGAAAGGGGCTGGGAGGAGCTGCCATGGAAGAGAAGACTTGTGAAAATTTGGCGGAATAAAAAAAGGCAATGGCTGTAAGTAGCCGCCACTTTGTGGGGCAAAAGATCTGAACGTGAAGATACACGATGGCAAATAAGCACATGACACGATGCTCAACATCATATATCCTTAAGGAGCTGCAAATTAAAACGGCCAGACATCATACACACCTAGAATAGCTAAAACTTTCAAAAACTGACAACACCAAATTTGAAAATGAAATTTCAAATGTGATGAAAGACATGAATATAAACATCCAAGAAGCTCAGCAGACTCCCAAAACAGACGTGATATAATCAAATTTTCTACAAAGACAAAACCATGAAAGCATCAGAAGACAAACGACTTGCCACACAAAAGGGCTGCTCAGCAAGAGTATAAGCTGATTTCTCATCAGAAGATCAGAGACCAAAAGGCAATGAACCCATACACTCATAGAGCTAAAACAAAATAACTGTGAGCCAAGACTCCTACACCTGACAAAACTGTCCTTCAAAAGTGAGGTAAAATTAAGACATCACCAGAGAAACAAAGTAAGTTTGCTACCACTACACTTGCTCTGCAAGAAATGCTCAAGGGAGTCCTGCAGGTGAAATAAAAGGACACTAGAGGGGGAGTACAGCTCAAGTGGCAGAGCGCATGCTCAGCACTCAAGACGTCCTGGCTTCAATCCCCAGTACCTTCTCCAAACAGAAATAAATGAATAAATCTAATTACCTCCCCCTCATGAAAAACAAAGCAAGTAAAATGTGTGCTTGGATACTGTTCTATAAATCTGTCTCATCCTTTAAAAAAATAAAAATGACAAAGGACACTAGAGAATACCCTGAAGCTGCCTAAAGAAACATCTAATAAAGGTAACATCTGGGCAATAATTAATGGTAGTTATTATTTTAACTTTGATTTGTAACTCTACATTTTCTTTTCTACATAATTAGAAACGACTAATGCTTTTGAAATAACTATTGGTTTATGTTTTGGAGCACACAACGTATAAAGATGTAATTGTGTGACGTCAACAACCAAAAGGGGTGGGACAGAGCCCCAAAGGAGCGTACTGTCTGCATGTTTTTGGAGTTGAGCTGGTAGAAATTCAAGTCAGAATGCCATAACTTTAGGAAGTTAAATATAATCCTATGGCAACCACAAAGAAAACAGTTATAAAACTTATATGAAAGCAAATGAAAAAGGAATTTAGATATTTCACTACAATAATTCAACTAATCACAAAAGACAGTAATGCAGGAATTGAATGACCAAAATGCTATAAGGCATATAAAAAGCAAAGAGCAAATGACAGAAATAAACCTCTCCTTATGAGTAATTACTGTAAGTGCAAGTCAGCTGAACTCCCCAGTGAAAGGACAGAGTTTGGAAGAATGGATTAAAAAACATGACCCAATATATGCTGTCTACAGGAAACTCATTTCAGACCCAAAGACACAAACAGACTGGAAATGAAAGGATGAACAGAGACATTCCATGCAAGCAGTAACCAAGAGAGAGCAGGGGTGGCCACACTAACATCAGACAAATCAGAAGAGATTATAAGAGACAAAGAAGGAAATTACAGGTTATTACATTTTAATACAGCAAGAAGACTGACAATTACAAATAGATATACCTAGTAATAGATTGTAAAAATACATGAAGCAAAATCTGACAGAACTGAAGGAAGAAATAGTTTTATAATAATAACAGGAAACTTCAATATTCCACTCTCAAACATGGATGGAACAATCAGACAGAAAATAAGGAAACAATTTAAATAAACTCATTAGTTCTAACAGACATGTACAGAAAACTCTAACCAACAACATACACATTCTTCTCAAGTACACATGAGATATTTTCCAGGACAGACCATAATGTTAGGCCACAAATTAAGTCTCAACAGATGTAAAAGATAAATATTATACAAAGTATCTTCCCTGGCCACAAAGGATTAAGTTAAGCATCACTAAAAAAGTGGGGGAAAAGGAAAATACACAAACTTTAAAAAAAAAAATTAAACACAGTCTTAACCAACAGATCAAAGAAATCAAAATGGAAATTAGTAAACACTTGGACATGAATGAAAACAAAACAGAACAAAACTGATGGGATGCTGCAAAAGCAGTGTTGAGGAGAAAGCTTACAGTTATAAATAATTGTATTTAAAACAAGAGACATCTCAAATCAACAATCTAACTCTACAAGTTAAGGAAATGGAAAAAAACCAAACTAAACACAAAAATAGCAACAGAAAGGAAATAATATAGATTAGACACAGATAAACAAAACAGAGACTAGAAAAATAGGGGAAAAAATCAATGAAACCAAAGCTTATTTCTTTAAAGAGATCTACAAAATTGATAAACCTTCAGATAGATGGACTAAGAAAAAAAGAGAAGATCTGAATTACTAAAATCAGAAACGACAGTGGGGAAATTAGTAATGATTAGTTCAGACTCAAAAATGATTATCTGAAAGGACTATGAAAAACTGTGTGCCAAGAAACTGGATAACCTAGTTGAAATGGGTAAATTCCATTTGCCTTTCAATCAACATTACATCACAAAGAAATAGAAAATTTGAAAGGAACTATAACTAGGAGATTGAGTCTGTAGTAAAAAAAATTTCCCAAAAATAGAAAAGCCAAGGCTTCACTGGTGAATTTTATCAAACATTTAAAGAAGTACTAACATTGGTCTTTCTCAAGTTTTTACAAAAAACTAAGGAGGGAACACTTCCTAATTCATTCTGTAAGACCAGGATTACCCTGATACCAAAGCCAGACAAGGATACTACAAGGAAACTACTAAAGACTAATACTCCTTATGAAATAGATGTGAAAATCCTCAATACAACAACAACACATCAAATTCAGCAGCTTATTAAGATTACACACCATGACCAATGGGATTTATTCCTGGAATGCAAGGATGGCTCAACATTTGAAAATCCCTCCATGTAATACACCACATTAACAGAATGAAGTTAAAAAAAATGACTATCTCAATTAATGCAAAAAAAAGCATTTGACAGATTTGAGCAACTTTTCATGATAAAAACACTCAATAAAGTAGGGATAGAAGGAAAGTATGTCTAGATAATAAAAACTCAGTGAATAGTATTCTCAATGGTGAAAGACTGAAAACTTTTCCTCAAAGATTAGGAACAAGGCAAGGATGCCTGCTTCTACCATTTTTATTCAACATAGTGCTGGAAATTATAGCCAGAGCAATTGGACAAGAAGAAATAAAAGGCATCCAGCTTAGGAAACATGGAGTAAAATTCTCTCTGTTCATGGACATATGATCCTATTGTAGAAAACCTTAAACATATATATATATATATATAAAAGCCAGTTACGACAAATGAATTCAGCAAACAGCAGGATTCAGTCAACAGACCAAAATCAGTTCCATTTCTATACGCTAATAATAATCTGAAAAGCAAATTATGAAAACAATTCCATTTAAAACTGCATCACAATTTTGAAATCCCAGTCTATCCCTTCCCACCCTCTAAGAATCTTGAAAAAGGGATTTCCGGTCAAGATGATGGAGAGGTAGGACCACGTGCTTGCCTCTCCTTGCAACTACAACAAAACCACAACTGAATGCTAAACAACCATTGAAAAAAGACTGGAACCTAGCAAAAAAGATCTTTTGCAACTGGAAACATGAAGAGGGAATCATGGCAGGACAGTAGGAGGGGGGTGCTCACAATATAATCGGGCCCCATACCTCTCGGGTGGGTGACCCACAAGCTGAAGATTTGTTAAGTCGCAGAGGCCCTCCCACAGGAGTGAGAGCTCTAAGCTCCACATCAGGCTCCCCAGCTCGGGTCCCAGCATTGGGAAGAGGAGACCCCAGGACATCTGGTTTTGAAGGCCAGGGGTATATAGAGAATCAAAACTCAACCAAAAAAGCCAACCTATTCAAAAGTGGTCAGAGGACCGGAATAGACATTTCTCCAAAGAAGACACACAAGTGGCCAATAAGCACGTGAAGATGCTGAACATCACTAATCATAAGGGAAATGCAAATCAAAACTATAATGAGCTTTCCACCTCACACCAGTTAGGCTGAAAATCACAAGGGCTGGCGAGGATATGGAGTAAATAGCACACTTGTGCATTGTTGGTGGGGATATAACATGGTGTAGTTGCTATGGAAAACAGCATGGTGGCTCCTCAAAAAATAAAAAATTAGAATTACCGTGTGGTCCAGCAATTCCACTTCTGGGTATATCCCCAAAGGAAGTGGGGTCTCAAAGAGCTATCTGTACATCCACGTTCACAGAAGCAGCATTATTATTCACAGTAGCTAAAACACAGAGGCAATCTAAGTGTCCATCGATGGATGAATAGATAAGCAAACGGTGGTAGATACATACAACGAATCAGTGTTCAGCCTTAAAAAGGAAGTCCTGCAATGTGCTATAATATGCATTAACCCTGTGGACGTTATGTCAAATAATAAGCTAGTCACAAAAAGACAACTACTATATGAGTCCACTTACATGAACTATCTAGAGTAGTCAAAATCCTAGAGACAGAAAGGAGGATGGTGGTTACAGGGGCAGGGAGTGGGAAGGTGAAAACTGGGAGTTATTGTTTAATGGGTACAGAGCTTCAGTTTTACAAGAGGAGGAGGGCTGTGGAGATGGGTGGTGGTTATGACTGCCAACTTCATGAATGTATTTAAATCCACTGAACTGTTACTTAAAATGGTGCAGGTGAGAAAAGAAAATACAAGTGCAGAACATGAATGCATAAAACTACAAACAGTGGTTTAAAAAAATCAAAGATCTAAAAAAGTGGAAAGGTACAGTGTGTTTGTGGACTGGAAAACTCAGTATTGCTAAGATGTAAATTCTCCCTAATTCGCTTCATAGATTAGATGAAATTCCAATCAAAGTCCTTACAAGCTTTTTTTTTTTGTAGCTATCCACAAGCTCTTCTATAATTAATATGGAAAAGCAAAAAACTGGAGTAGCCAAAACAATTCTGAAGAACAAAGGTACCACACCCCCACTAGTGCACTCTAAGACTTCCTACACAATCCAGGTGGGGGTACTGGTGAAAGATTAGACACAACGATCAAAAGAACACAAGAGAGAGCCTAGAAATAGACCCACATAAACACTGTCTCTTGAATTTCTTTTTTTTTTCCCCTACAAAGACACCAGCAATTCAATGGAGAAAGGATAATCTTTTCAACACATGGTGCTGGCACACCACAGACTTGCACATCCATAGGCAAAAAAGTCAACCTCAACACATACCCCACACCTGATACAAAAATTAACTAAAAATGGGTCACATACTCAAATGCAAAGCTAAAACTATAAAAGTTCCAGAGGAAAGTTTCTTTTTTTAATTTGAGCACTTTGGTTTGGGCAATGAGATTTTAGATACAAAACCAAAAGCAAAACCCATTTTAGAAAATTTAAATCTTGGTAAGCCACAAAGTTGTTGAATAAAAGCAGATTATTTTAAGACTTTTTTAAAAATTTAAGAAAATAAACATTATCAAAGGTAAAATATTTTGCCCTGTGGAAGTTGGTATTACGGAAATGAAAAGACAAACCAGAGATGGGGAGAAAATATTTACAAATCACATTTTTTATGAGGGACTGAAATCGAGAATAACAAAGAACTCTTAATCAGTAACAAGAAAACCACCCAGCTGAAAAATGGGGGAAAGCTCTGGGCAGATACTTCACCAAAGATCCACAGAGAATAAAACACATGTGAAAAGATAATCAGTAACACTAGCTGTCCATTAGGGAAAAGCAACTGAAAACCACAATGAAACAGCACCTCACATCTATTAGATTAGGCAAAATTTTTAACAACCTGATGCTCCCAAGCACTAGTCAGGGCGAGGAACAACAGGGGTTCTTACTCTCTGCTGGCGGGAATGCACAACTGCACAGCCACATTGGAGGACAGTTTTTCACAAACCTAACCATAGAATCGCCATGTAACCCAGCAATCCTGCTCCTGGGTACTTACTCAACTGCTCTGAGAACACATGTCTACGCAAGAACCCACATGTGACTACTGGCAGCTTTCAAAATCACCCAGAACTAGAAGTATGTGGATACCAAGACTCATTACCAAATAAGGACAGTGTGATGTTGGCCTAAGGACAGAAAAGGAGGAAATGGAACAGAATAAAGAGTTCTGAAACCAAAGTAAATCTTGACGCTTAAATCACCAAAAAAAAATTAATTCTAGATGTCTGTGAGCCTAAATGTGAATGGTAAATGTGAACAAAAAAATTTCTTCATAAGCACTGAATAAGAATAGAGTTCTTAGAAAAAGCACTAATAATAAAAGCAAAAAAATGTGTAAACCAAATTAAGTTAAAATGAGAAATAGCTATTCATCAAAAGACAGCACTGGAAGGGAGGATAGAGCGTGTGCTTAGCATGTGCTTTGCATGCATGAGGTCCTACGTTCAATCTCCAGTCCACTCATTAAAAATAAAATAAATAAATATAAATAAGTAAACCTAATTACCACCCCCCAAAAAAGATGAAAAAAAACCAGCATTAATAGAATGAAAAGGCAAGACAGGAAAAAAAAACCCAACTTGTAAGGAAATACTGAACAAGAGTTAGTGCTATGCATTGTGAAGTATTTAGAGGGAGGCATGCTGATGTCTGAAATATACTAAGAAATGCACCAAAAATCAGGTGGGTTAATAGATGCATAGATGGACGGAAAGATGGAACATGCGATAAAGCAAGTATATAGTAAGATGTTAAAGGTGATGAGTATACAGATGGTCACTGTAAAGTCCTTCAACTGTGGCATGTTTGAAAACTGTCCTAACAAAATACTGGATGTAAGGGAAGCACTTCACATAAAATTTGAATATGGATCTGATATCGAGTTTGCTTTAAACTTCAATGTGCATGAATCACTGAATCCTGCTGAAATGTGGAGTCTGATATGACAGGACTGAGGTGGGGCCTGAAATTCAGCATTACTAATAAGCTTCCAGAATATGAAGACCTCCTTTAAATCAGTAAGACAGAAAACATCCACAAAAGGTAACAAAATGTCCAAAAACCACAAGAAAAGAGAGTCTACCTCTTTAGCCGGCAGGAAATGCAAAGCAAAGCCATACAGGATCCCACCACACCAGGATGGCTCAAATGAAAAAGAACAACAATTAAGAGTCAGAGGAGTCTGGGGAGGGTGTGACTCAGCAGTAGAGCACATGCCTAGCACGCATGAGGTCCTGGGTTCCATCCTTGGTACCTCCACTAAAAAAATAAAATGAGTAAATAAATAAACCTAATTACCCACTCCCCCCCAAAAAAATGCAGAGGAAAAAAAGCAGAAATAAAAAAAAAAAGTCGGCGCAGACTGTGAGGCAAGTGCAGGATAAGCTGGGGAGTCTACGGGGATGAGAAGTAAAAGCAGTACAGCAGGACACACAAATACACAGAAACACATGCACAGCAAAAACAGTATACATTTTGTAAACAAAACAATATCCATTAAAAGAGTAATTCTGGGGAGTGGAGAAGCAGCTGAAAATTGAGTCTGGGGAAACCAGGAAACAGATCTCACACGACCTGAAGTTAATTTAACTCTCCCACCTAAGAATCCCCAGCCCTCTCCCCACCAAAAACAGGCACAGACAAGATGTGGAAAGAAAAAAGC